GCCCCGCCGTGCCCCATTAACACCATCCGCCTCTATTGCAGATGCAGATGCGATTTGACGGACTACTGGGCTTTCCCGGGGGGTTCGTGGATCGCCGTTACTGGTCCCTGGAGGACGGTCTGAATCGGGTGCTGGGCTTGGGTTTGGGCTGTGTGCGCCTGACGGAAGCTGACTATCTGTGCTCGCACCTGACAGAGGGGCCACACCGTGTGGTGGCACATTTCTACGCCAGGCAGCTGACCCTGGAGGAGCTGCACACCATCGAGATCAGCGCGGTGCATTCCCGAGACCACGGGCTGGAGGTGGGGCACCAGGGAGGGGGGTGGGGGCGGGCGCAGCTCTCGGCCTTTTACCCCCCAGCTCCCCTCCTGGCTCTGCGGGGCTGCCCAGCCCTGCGGGGGGGATGGACCGCACCGAGGGCAAGGAGCCCTGTGTTCCCTTCACTGAGGGAAGGAGCCCTGTGTTCCCTTCACTGAGGGAAGGAGCCCTGTGTTCCCTTCACTGAGGGAAGGAGCCCTGTGTTCCCTTCACTGAGGGAAGGAGCCCTGTGTTCCCTTCACTGAGGGAAGGAGCCCTGTGTTCCCTTCACTGAGGGAAGGAGCCCTGTGTTCCCTTCACTGAGGGAAGGAGCCCTGTGTTCCCTTCACTGAGGGAAGGAGCCCTGTGTTCCCTTCACTGAGGGAAGGAGCCCTGTGTTCCCTTCACTGAGGGAAGGAGCCCTGTGTTCCCTTCACTGAGGGAAGGAGCCCTGTGTTCCCTTCACTGAGGGAAGGAGCCCTGTGTTCCCTTCACTGAGGGAAGGAGCCCTGTGTTCCCTTCACTGAGGGAAGGAGCCCTGTGTTCCCTTCACTGAGGGAAGGAGCCCTGTGTTCCCTTCACTGAGGGAAGGAGCCCTGTGTTCCCTTCACTGAGGGAAGGAGCCCTGTGTTCCCTTCACTGAGGGAAGGAGCCCTGTGTTCCCTTCACTGAGGGAAGGAGCCCTGTGTTCCCTTCACTGAGGGAAGGAGCCCTGTGTTCCCTTCACTGAGGGAAGGAGCCCTGTGTTCCCTTCACTGAGGGAAGGAGCCCTGTGTTCCCTTCACTGAGGGAAGGAGCCCTGTGTTCCCTTCACTGAGGGAAGGAGCCCTGTGTTCCCTTCACTGAGGGAAGGAGCCCTGTGTTCCCTTCACTGAGGGAAGGAGCCCTGTGTTCCCTTCACTGAGGGAAGGAGCCCTGTGTTCCCTTCACTGAGGGAAGGAGCCCTGTGTTCCCTTCACTGAGGGAAGGAGCCCTGTGTTCCCTTCACTGAGGGAAGGAGCCCTGTGTTCCCTTCACTGAGGGAAGGAGCCCTGTGTTCCCTTCACTGAGGGAAGGAGCCCTGTGTTCCCTTCACTGAGGGAAGGAGCCCTGTGTTCCCTTCACTGAGGGAAGGAGCCCTGTGTTCCCTTCACTGAGGGAAGGAGCCCTGTGTTCCCTTCACTGAGGGAAGGAGCCCTGTGTTCCCTTCACTGAGGGAAGGAGCCCTGTGTTCCCTTCACTGAGGGAAGGAGCCCTGTGTTCCCTTCACTGAGGGAAGGAGCCCTGTGTTCCCTTCACTGAGGGAAGGAGCCCTGTGTTCCCTTCACTGAGGGAAGGAGCCCTGTGTTCCCTTCACTGAGGGAAGGAGCCCTGTGTTCCCCTCACTCAGGGAAGAGCCCTGTGTTCCCTGCTCAGGCTCCGTCTCGTGTCTGGTGGGCATTTCCCTCGGCCTGGGAGTGACCTGGACTGGAATTGTCGACCCTCAGCGTGGTGATGTGTTACTCTAACCCGAGTTCCCTCCTTGGCTGGCACTGAGGGGAGGCAGGAACCTCCCGGGGAGCTGGGCAGCTGGTGCCCTGGGGCAGGGTGTGAGGGTCTCCCCCTTGGAGGTGCTCGTGCAGGTTCTGGCAGCAGAGGCAGTTGTGATGTGGCTGTTGAGGGGGGTGTGTGGGCACAGCCGGGGTGTCCCTGGCAGGGCAGGGTGTGGAGGGGGATGCGGGGCTCCCCGTAGGGGCCTGGGACGAGCGGGGTCCCCCCAAAGCAGGCAGGAGGTGGAACAGAGGCAGGGCTGGGCCGGGCAGGGAGAGCAGGACTGCTGGGGCAGCACAAGGGGCTTCAGCTGGGCTGTGGGGCAGGGAGGTGAGGGCAGGGGGTGTGGGGCAGGAGCTGGCTGGGACTGGAGGAGCTGGCTG